GAGAGCATCGATGAGCGGTGCGGTGATGGGCCCCAGCGCGTGCTGTGCGCACTGCACTAGGATGTCCCTGTCAGGCCCCACCTGGCACAGGAACGCCAGGACCATGCTCTTTAGCCAGTTGATTTTCCACCAGCGCGGCTCCCCGTTGCGGCGGAGTTCCTGCTCCAGCCAGGGCAGCACCGGGTCGAGGATGTCACGTCTCTCCCGGAAAAGTGCCGCCCAGACCTCTGGCAGGAGGCCGCCCACTCTCTCTGGCTCTACGGCCATGGGCCCAGGGGACGGTGGCGCAGAGGGTGGAGTGGATGCCGCAGTGCCGCTGGGGCCGGTGGTGGTGCCGAAGCTGATGGGCACAGGCACTGCAGGCGGGGAGACGATGCACTCCACGTACTCGTTGTCTCCCCGCACAGAGACCCGGATGGTCTTCATGGCCGTTCTGCACAGCGGGCAGCTATCTCTCAGCCTTGCCCAGCGCTGGATGCAGCCGAGGCAGAACATGTGATTGCAAGGACTCGCATAGGCGATGTCCTGTCGCACATCACGGCAGATGGAGCATGTCCATGCCTCTTCCGCGGCCATGGTCTTCTCACTGCAGCTGGCTGGGAGAACCAAGGATGACAAGTTGCTCTCCTTCACCGGAGCTGCAGCAGTGGTATATTGCTCTGCAAGAGGAAGAGAAGTCACGGTCGCTCGCTGTCCCGGGGTGTGAAAGCCCTCAGAAGGAAGCCCTCCCAAGCCCATGACTGGGCCGTCTCGTGCCCCCCGCTGGCACAGGGCCAGGCTCCCCACGGCACGTCCCCTGAGGGTCCCAGGTGTCCCTGCACCACTCACCTCCGCTGCTGCGGATGCGCTCCGTAGGGCCCTGGCTGCCTGCTCTAGGCAGGGCCAGGGAAACAGAAGCGATACTGTGGGATCGGGCACTGAGATGCTGCAAGCAGCCCCAGGCACGACCCAGCACAGCACAGCCAAATCCTCGCTCGACCGACAAGCCTCGCAGAGCTGCTCAGCAGGGTCTAGGAACGAGCCAGACTGAGGCAGGCTCTGCCCGCACCCCACTATGAGCAGTGAGGGCTAAGCAGTCACAATCCGCCATGCAGTGATGTCACAGCCTGTTGCTCAGGGACATCACCATGGGCTGCCCGTGCCCACCTCCCCCACCCCACCCCTGTTTCAAATGTTACCTTCTTTTCCTTTTCCTACTTTGTTGTACCTTCCCCTTCATTCCTGCCCACCTTTTATGTTCTACGTTTGACGTGAATGCACCGGCCTTTCTTTTTCTCTGATTAAAACAACTCTCATTTATGTATTAACACAACTCTGATTGTGCATATATTTCCTGTTTCTTCACTAGAAAACTGTAGATTTCTCATTTCTGTGTTACGTAGAAATTGGGTTTGGCATTCTCCTCTTCTTGCTTCAGGAATGCCCAGTCGATCTTTCTCTCGTTCCTCTTCTGTCAGCATTTTCCTGGTGCTTTTTGGGAGTCTCTTCCATTATCAGCTTGGGAATATCCTTCTTTCTGAGTGTCGCGTCCCCACCTGTGGGGAGGGGTGGTGTGTAACATTCATGAATTCCTTTTGGATGGCTTAAGGTGAAATAACACTCATGGTCCCTACATAAACATCAGCGTTAATGGGGAACTTACCTAGAACAGCTATCCTGTAGGCATTGGCCCTCTCACAAGTATCTACCTAAATCTACCTAGGCTGTGCATTTTTATGGGAAATTAAAGTAAGCCCTGCTGTCCCCCCTGTTTGAAGACAACTTTCTGATGCAGGTGGTGGAGGAACCGATGAGGGGAGGGGTGTTGCTGGACTTTATTCTCACTAATAAGGAGGGCCTTGTCAAGGAAGTAAAGGTCGAGGGCAGCTTGGGTTGTAGTGACCACGAGATGGTGGAGTTCAAGATCTCGTGTGGAAGAAGAAAGCAAAAAGTAGGATTGCTACCCTGGACTTCAGGAGAGCCAACTTTGATCTCTTCCAAGACCTACTTGGAGCCATCCTGTGGGCTAGGTTGTTAGAAGGTAAGGGGGCCTGTGAGAGGCTGGTCGGCATCTAAACAGCTTTTCTTCCAGGCTCAGGATCAGTGCATCCCTGTGAGCAAGAAATCTGTAAAGGGTGGCAGGAGCCCTGTGTGGATGAGCAAGGAGCTCATGCACAAACTCAAAGGAAAGAAGAAGGCCCACGAAATGTGAAAAAAGGGTCTGACCACTTGGGAAGAATATAGAAATGTTGTCAGGGCCTGCAGGGATGCGACGAGGAAGGCTAAAGCCTACCTGGAATTGAATCTGGCAAAGGTGATAAAGGATAATAAAAAAGGCTTTTTTAAGTATGTTAACAGTAAAAGGAAGATTAGGGAGAATGTGGCTCCCCTACTAAGTGAGGGGGGTGTTCTGGTAATGGGGGATGCTGAGAAGGCGAAGATACTGAATGTCTGCTTCTGTCTTCGGTGAAAAAGCTCTCCCTCAGGAATCCCAGACCCTGGAGGTTAGTGAGAGGGTCTGGGGAATGGAAGACTTGCCTTTAGTCAGGGAAGAGGCGGTCCGAGAGCGCCTAGGCAACAAATCCATGAGACCCGATGGGATACATCCACGGGTGCTGAGGGAGCTGGCGGAGATGATTGCTGAACCGCTCTCTGTCATCTTTGAGAGGTCTTGGAGAATGGGGGAGGTGCCTTAAGACTGGAGGATAGCCAGTGTCACTCCGGTCTTCAGAAAGGGCAAGAAAGAAGATTCAGCGAGACCTGGACAGGCTGGAGAGCTGGGCAGTAAGAAACTGGATGAGGTTTAACAAAAGCAAGTGTGGAGTCTTGCATCTGGGGAGGAATAATTGCATGCACCGGTACAAGTTGGGGGATGACCTGCTGGAGAGGAGCTCTGTGGCGAGGGACCTGGGTGTCCTGGTGGACGACAGGTTGGCCATGAGCCAGCAGTGTGCCTTTGTGGCCAAAAAGGCCAGTGGCATTCTGGGGTGCATTAAAAAGAGCGTGGCCAGCAGGTCGAGGGAGGTGATCCTCCCCCTCTCCTCTGCCCTGGTAAGGCCTCATCTGGAGTACTGTGTCCAGTTCTGGGCTCCCCAGTACAAAAAAGACAGGGATCTCTTGGAAAGAGTCCAGCGGAGGGCCACAAAGATGGTGAAGGGCCTGGAGCATTTCCCCTATGAAGAAAGGCTGAGTGAACTGGGTCTGTTTAGCCTTGAGAAGAGAAGACTGAGAGGGGACCTGATCCAGGTCTATGAATATCTAAGGTGTGGGGGGCAGAGTGGCGAGGCCAGACTGTTTTCAGCAGTGTGTGAAGACAGGACAAAGGGGAACAGCCAGAAACTGGAGCATAGGAAGTTCCGCACCAATGTGCGCAAGAACTTCTTTGCTGTGAGGGTGACGGAGCACTGGAACAGGCTGCCCAGGGAGGTGGTGGAGTCTCCTTCTCTGGAGATATTCAAGACCCGCCTGGACGCCTACTTGTGTGACCAGTTGTAGGGAACCTGCTTTGGCAGGGGGATTGGACTCGATGATCTCTGGAGGTCCCTTCCAAGCCCTACGATCCTGTGATTCTGTGACTTGCATAAACTGCCTCCATCTGTAGTATCAAATTAAAGCTGAAGTAAGGGGTTTCTCTTCATGTTGGACTGTGAATGAATTTGATTACAAATTTATCGGAAGGGGCCAACAAGGATCATCAACTCCAACCCCAGCTCCACACAGCAGCACCCAAACCCAACTCTGTCAGAGCAGTGTCCCAGTGGTCTGTGAGCTCCGGCACTGGGGCTGTGCCCGCTGCCCCAGGCAGCCCATTCCATGCCCACCATTCTGGGGCACAGCCTTTCCCTCACCCCCAGCTGCCCTTCCCCTGACAGCTCCATGCTGTTCCCTCAGGCCCTGTCGCTGTCCCCGGAGAGCAGAGTTCAGTGCTGTCCCTCCACTCCCTGTGAGGAGCTGCAGCCTCCATGATGCTTCCCCACAGCCCGCTCTGCTCTGCACACAACAAACTCAGCTGCTCCTCATATGTCTTCCCCTGCATCATCTCTGTAGCCTTCCTTTGGACTCTGTAATAGTTTTATGTCCTTTTATTACATTGCTCAAAATTCACATGGTACTGGAGGTGAGGCCACACCAGTGCAGAGCAGAACAGTCCCTTGTCCAGCTGGCAGTGCCATGCAGAGTTTGAGTCACATTTTAAGTATTGTTACTCAGAAGAAACCCAGGGTAACTTGAGACCGGTTTTTTTTTGTTGCTGCCCTGTAGTGAAGGTTTCTGTGAGTGAGGGACGAACAGCACGGTGTGAGGTACGTGAGCATGACTGTCCTGCCTGGCAAGAACTCAGCCTCATATCTGCTAGGAGAGAGGTTGCATTGCTTCAGCTGCTGCTGGCGATTTGCTGGCAAGGAAATGAGGTTTGCAAAGACTTGCATAACAGGGCCACTGAAAACGCGTGTTTTGAAGATGGCAGTGCAGAAAAGCTTTTGTGCTTCAGTGTATCTGACCTTTCCAAGACAAAATGAAGCCAGGAACAAGTTTGGAAAGTAAAACACCTGTATGACATAATGCAAGATTGTCATTTCAATCAAAACTGGAATGTCTGGCTGCTGATTCTGGTGATTGCACTGTTTATTGTACCAACATCTGGCTTTTGTCTGCGTGCACACAATACGAAAGCAAGTTTATCATTTGTTTTTGCTGCTTAATACTTTCACCTTGCAGCTGATAACTTCTTTTTCCTCATCCTGTTGGGGTTATTAGATAGTTCCAGTTTACTTTTTTTGCCAGGCATTTGTGCAAGTAAAGGAGCTTTATGTTTTCCTTTTTTGTTTTTTTTAACTGGACTTTATTAATTCAACTACAAAGGCTGCTCCTAAAGTAATTCTTCCTATTTTATTCTGTTGGCCCATGATGCCAGAAGCAGATACTGGTGGTATGGCAGTATCACGCTACATTTTTCTGCACTGTGACAGATGGCAGCAGACTGACAGACTGATAGCTGACATAGAAGTCCATATGAAGCAAAGGTGTGTCATTGAATTCCTCCATATGGAAGAAAGGGCACCCACTGACATTCATTGACTCTTGGTAAACGTTTTTGGAGGCCATACGGTGGATGTGAACACAGTGAGGCAGTGCACGGTCAAACACTATGAAACAATGGGTCACCTTCTCTGGTGAGGATTTCTATAACTGGGGTGTGGAGGGTTTTGTTCATTGCTGGCAAAAATGCACAGCTAATGGTCGTAACTGCTAAAAAAACAGCGTTTCGTAGCTGAGAATTTGCTCTATCAAATGGTTTTATTGTGTTCCTTGTATCTGTTGTAGTTTCCATGGAAATAAATAGGCTGCGTTACTTTTGGAGTGACCTATATATAATTACTAAAGATCAGCAGATCTCCTTCAGTGCACAGACCTATAAGAATCCTAGTTGGACTGACCGAAAAATGTAGCAGATAAAATGGCTTGTGTGTTAGGGCCTAGCTGGCTTTTCTCTTCCCTCTATATGTAGATGAAGGCTCCTTCAGAGAATGCACAATCAGTTCACTCTGGAGGCTATGCAGGCAGCACAGTGAGCCCCCTTCCCCTGAGAATGGGCTTGCAAGGATATTTCATGGGTTTCATCCATTGCTGTCCAGGCTGTCCTATCCGCTGTGGGGATGGAGCCCAGAGAAGCTCCTCCCCATTCTTTCTTCCATTCCTCCCCACTACTTTGGCACTTCTGGAAAGAGACTGCAGGTAAGGATGGTGTTTGTAACTCCAATATGAAAAGAGACACTGGGATGAATGGGGTGAGCTGGAGTATCACAGGGACAAGGACTTGCTGCTAGTCCTGTGTGTGGCTGCCTGGGGACATTGGCCTGCAGTCAGCTGGTGCTTGGCTCACCGGCTCATCCCAGCTGCTCGGAGAGCACAAACCCTGTGGCTCCTGGCTCTTCTTGCCTTCCACCACACGTGGATAAAGAGCAAGTTAGCAGGAGTGTCACAGTTAGCCTCTGAACATATTTTGCTCGGAACTGTATTGTTTTGTACCAGATGTGCTGCCAGGCGTGCACACAGAAACTGATGCCAAAACTGACTGAAAAATAGGAAAGCATTAATTGAATATGGAACACCTAAACAGGATAGGACTGCCAGAAAGGCCAAGAAAAATTCTGTTATTGATCATGTGATGGCTATAATAGAGAATGCTATCAATAGAAAAATGCATTATGGAAAGAGATTGTTTTCAAAAAGATAAAGATAAATCACAAAGTAAACAATATTAGCTTCTTAGGGAAAAAATAATGAACTGTCCCAGCAGATAACACTGCTGCTTGGGAAACAGAGCAATGGAAAGAACAAGAGGAATGGGTGTTGACATTTCAGAGTCCATTATCTAAGGGGTATGGTGTGAGAGGGAGACCTGTCTGATGGTTGCTGGGTTTATTACACTGGAAAGGTGTTCTGGGAGTCAGACATGAATTTAAGCTTTCTGTTTCCTGCTAAAAATAAAGGGTGTGGGTTTTGTTCTTCCCAGCTGGTAGAGCACTGTCTGACCAGCTGTACACTTCATACTACAGTGAGTAACATCAGAGTTCCATCAAAGTGAACTGAAACTGAACTAGGTGGATCTGGAGCACCGGTCTGTGTGACTTTAAAGCACCGGTAAGCATAAAGGTTTCTTCTGTGACACCTGTGCTCTTCTTAAAGAGTTCCTGGAAGTGGTTTACTGCTCTTAAAGCTGCTTGGAAGCATGAGGGATGGGACACATAGCACTACAATTGTAAATACCAGTGCACCAATGTAGAGCTACCTGAAAATTCAGTTTTATTTTCATATTTGGATCAAAATTGGATGATGGAGGAAACCTTTGGTGTATAATAAGCTGGTTTTTTTGGTTGTTTTTTTTGTTTTTTGTTTTTAACCAAAACATAACAGTTTGAAGGTGAGATTTGTAAGCATTTTGAAGTGGGAATGACTAGGGGAATGCTCATCAGACAAATCTGTATATGCAGATTTTTATGTCATATCAGAAATCCTCACATTGGAGTTGTTTGGTTTGGCTGCAGAGAGTTGTAAGAATGGTTAGATCTACAAGTAGTTATCACATGCAGCTTTCCACAAGGACTGCATATTGCTCCTCTGTGCAATTAATGCATCTTTATCACAAAAACAATTTCCTAACCTTAAGCAAGGTGT